TTCTCCTTGCTTAGTAATGCCTTACCTAACCTTAATCTAGAAGCACTAAGCTGACCAGAGGACATACTATTAATACTAACATCATCACATTTATCATCAATAATATCAGACATGCCACAAACAACTTTGGAAAAATTACCATCCATTTCATTTTCCTTCGAACTTTTGCTCCGCGTTTCCATCGTATTTCTTGTTCCAAAGAAGAGATTACCAAAACAAATCTGAGTTAATCCAAACGAAATTGACCAATAGAACCAGGAAACTGAACCCAAAATATCTAGACAAATCCAGGGTATGAACACAGAACCAATAATTGAAGAACTTTATGTAACGTCCAAGTTTTTGCTCGTTCCCGTTATCAAATTACGATATGTTGATTTATTTGCAATTTACGAACCCAAATTAACAATAGAACCAAACTCTAATTTAGATATCAAAGTTTATTCGCAAGTTACAAATAGTCGACCCAAATGTCGTTCTAACAACAATAATTATAACATTTACAAAACAAACCTTCAATTTTGTAGGTTCCCAGAGCAAAAACTCCCAAATATCAAAACAATGACAAAGAAAAACCAAAATGTCCAAAAATAATAATATAAACAAACACATTCAAAGGTTAAGTAAAACAAATACATCCAAAAATACAGTAAGATTATTGATGTGCAACTTGTAAAATAAGTGAAAACACAATCAGGATATAGTATCCTCCACTAATGAATACTGTGAACTCCAAATGAAAAACTATAGACAGATAAAACTAAGAGCCACGTAAAAAGTTACAGCCTTCAAAGTTTTCGCCCACTCAAAGTTCTATTGCACGGAGCTCAAACTTGGACAACTACTACAATCACCAAAATGTTAGCGGATTTATCAGCAATTATCTGCTCAAGATACTCATTATCCGTCGACCGAATGTCATCAGCAACAACCAAATGTTGGAAAGAACAAACCAGCTTCTAATTAAAGACGAAATTTTCAGAAGACGTTTGAGGTGGATAGGAAATAAAATGCTAAAATAACCAAACTGCATCACAATGCAAACCCTAGCTTAAAGTTCTCAGGGCAAAAGGAGAACAAGAAGACTAAGAAACACATTGCATTGGGAGTCGGAAGAAGATATGGGAATTGAATAATTAGAACTAGAAACTATTGGAAAGTATTTTCCAGGACAGATACGGTCGCTGAATTCTTGTGTGCGGCCTAAGCCTCTTCATGAGGGATAACAGGTGTAAGTAAGTGAGCAAAATGCCGAACCGTGACAGGATATATTCTACAATCGTAATGTGAAGTTCCACAAGCAGATAACGTCATATCTATTAACCTTAATATGCTTGGGTTGGCAAGTAAATAATGTATTATAGCAGGTTTATACCAAAGACATTAAGGTGTAGAATTATGGCCTACAATGATATTAGTACTGCTCTGATAATAGAATTAATCCTAAAATTGTAGATTTGTCATGATATAACTGCCTAATCTATCAGATCTTGCGTCGAAGTTACATTATCGTCTACACCAACTCACTGTATCACAACAATTACCAATATATGATGGAGAACAGGGTTAGGCTAGAGAAAGAACAATATATTCAATATGAATAGAAGATATAAGGTAAAATTCAGTAGGGACCACGCCTGCATGGCCGAACCATGCCATCCTATCAACTTCAATTCATTTAATACATTCTTCTAGCCTTCTCCATCGTTAGGTTTTTCTCCACGTTAAATATTGAATATCTATTTTCCCAGTTGTCTCGTGTTAAGCTTTGAGGATTGTGTGGTTATGGCCCGATGCCACTAGAAGTTACCTAACTCTGAGTCAGTATCTTAATTATACTCTATTGTTACTACTGCCAGGTTCTCCTATCGCTTTCACCCCAATAAACCTTATACACTAGTATCTATCAACTTTGTTCCGGTCAAAAAGACATCTGAGGATCAGTGACATGACGCTAATAAGCAGATTGTTTGTTTTAATTTCCGGACTGTTTACACAACGTTTATGTTAAGTATGTTTTATTTTCCACACCGAATGATATTTATCAGTTTATTCATGTTACATCCTTAGTATTTCTGTTTGTTGTCTACCAGAGACAGTTTTATGCTTGCTAAATCTGTCTTTTATCGAAGTGTGAGTAACTATCAATAAAATCACTTCACTTGACCTTTTATGGTCTTTATTACACCTATTGTTAGCACTTACAACATCGACTCCGTCTAAAGTAAAGGCTTGAGAGTTCAATTTTCTTTACTTAAATAAAGTTTCAATGTGCATTTTATTGTGAATGCTTATCAATTTGTATCAACCTGCTCACAACCATAAAGTGGCACGTATTTTGTAACACTTTTTAGAAGATAAGTCACCGTTTTCATTATAAGCTTGATTTTCTGTGGCATTCTCAATCATTACTTACCTTGACAACAAACTTTTTCAAGATGAATAGCTCAGTCAGTAATGAAAGTTTTGTAAATATGAGGTGTCAAGTGCTCAGTTGAAGTTTAAACACTGCTCACATTTCTCTTTTTGAGCGCAAACATGTGTTTGCTGTTATAAAGCGACTCAGGGTAAATGGTGTAACAATGGATAAAGGGTTCACTGAATGCGAAATCCTGGTCATTAAAGTGGTTCATCTTCCCTTCCAGGCCACTTGTAATTTAATTCTTTAGGAAATCGGAATCCTTCAATCACTTTTAAATAAGTAGTAGCTCATGATTGTACATAACTAAGGTTCAATTTTTTGATTGCATATCGCTCCTAACCTTTGTATGTCTACCATTGTACGTTTACTTCTCTATTAGCAAAATCATACAAACTATAAAGATATATCGTTACTTCACACCCATTTTCAAATAAATTTTAGGATACCTGCATATCAATCGGCTACTGAGATCTAGTCGGTTTCCGTAAATTAGGTATTTGTAAATGTGAAGAGGGCTCGCAGACACAGGAATTAAAAACGCTACTGTCATTAACCTCTTTTAAGGCGCTGATTGCAAATCCAGCCAAATCAGACGTCATGGATGGTGAGACGCCAGGATGTAATTGAATCATTGGTTGAGGTATCGTAGTGTTTGGAATTTGAGCTAGTTAATCTTCGTAGGAGATATTCAGCACTGCGAATCCAAACGTGATTTACTGTCTTTGCTTAGCTGAGCACCTTCATTTGTAGATATATCCATTGAAACTAGTAAAGTCAGTATCATCAACTAAAGACTTAAAAAGCTACTTATTTTCGAGATTTTTAACGAATACACCTGCATGGAATAACTCCAACAATGCATACATACCATCTGACGAACGGCTAACACATTATCGAATCGGTTCATCATAGTGTGATTACTCATTGAAGATGCCACATGTATTTGTAGTTTGACAACACTTTAATCGGTAACACCTTCTGTAATTGAATCGTGCCCACCCAGTGAAGTCAGAAGTCAGAAGTGAGGAGGTTCGAAGATACATTTGATAAGCTATCAATATATAATGAAGCTACATCCGACATGTTTCCTGAAATACTAATCTAGTGCGAAAAAATAAAGTTCTAAACATTCTAGGGAGTTGAACGATGAAGAGAGATCCAGTAGCATTCTATTAGTTTATTTGTCTCATTCAGAAAAAATCACAACACCTCACTAACCATTTACAACTGAAATGCCAGAGTGTGTCGGGGAGATAAAGAATCGATATTCAGATGATTTATAGTTAATATCTAGTCTTCTTTGTGCATTCCACTTAACAATCCTTATTATCGGAGAAAAATGTAGATATCCACAAACCCAACCTAAAAAGTGCACTGAATATTTCATTCACGAAAAGTTGCTCTGATACAAATTCACTAAACATCTGACAGTTATATAATCCTTTTCTCGCTGCATACGAACTGGTCGGATTATGCATAAAAACTGACTTACGTAAACTAAAGTTAACACAGAAGGCTAGGGATTTGGTACCAATATGAATAAATTGTTATCCTATACTCAGATACCTCATCAAATTGTTTCCCATCATATGAAGCACAGATAATCTCAATTTTTAACAACCAACTTAACTTTCAGAAGCACTTCCCTTTTAATTACTTAGCCATTGTTAGTATCATTTGAAGTTTTCAACAACATATTCCTTTATGTGTTATCAACAATTAATTATTTATTATAACTCTAATGTAGTAAGTTTCATTGTAATTTCTAGCGTTTAAACGCTTGAACATTCTAGTAATCATTAAATACAGTGTTGGGATGTTCAGAAAAATATCCCAAAAATTATTCTGTTAAGTTTAATGCTATCCTTGGACTTGAGATGGTATCATTTTCCTACTGGTCAATATTTATTTCACTTGCCATTTTCTATTTTATGGTAAGATGTAGTCTGCTTGATTGGTATATAAACAGAGTATATTTGAAATATAATGATTCATATCTCAGAGGCTGAGACTTATGTTCTGGACTCAACTGGCTGGGTTAAACTGGAAGCAGGGCCAATCAGAACTCTATACCGATTATACGGTTTTACGTGTCATTGATCCGATCGATAAGTCACTGCTCTCTAATCAGCGGTCACAGTTATAACACACAGTATCAATATTTATAACAATCTATTATCCATTACGAAGTTCATTTCTGAAATATATGTAGACAGAAAGAAAAAAACACCCCCCCCTTATTTATGAAATTATCCAATGAACAACACAAATCAAGAATCAAGTTCCATACATCAGATTAGAAAAGATCATTCATTTACTTAGCAACATATATATTTATAATAATAAAAGGAAATTATATGGTATTTTATTTATTTATTTAGGAATTAAAATTTAATTCATTTTAGTTCATCTGAATTTAAGTAAAATCTGAAGTAGCAAAGATTTTTTTAAAAAAAAACAAAAAAAAAAAGGAAACGGGTGACAAGGTTTTTAAATAGTAGTATATTCATTCATGCTAACTATTGAATCGTTTCAAACAAATCAACGATTGGTTATTGATTTTCTTTTCTTTTTTTTTATAGAAAGAAAGTAGTATACGTCCAAATACTTTATACAACAAGTATGACTTATTTCACTGTATATCAATAAGCAGTAGTAGGTTATCTTTTCTTCTTTTTTTTATTTGGTTTTTTTGATTGCAATAATAATTACATTCGGAAATCAATATTTCATACTTATTACTATAGTTACTATCATCTAATCAACCATGATTACATAATCAATAGAATTCAATGAAAAAAAGAAAGATATTTCATGTTTAGTATTACATTTTGTTGTTGTTGTTGTTGTTGTTATCATTCATCGATGAATAAAGATCATTTATTAATAAGTTTATAATTAGAATGATATAGAAAAATGATATTACATTGAAAGAATTATCTATTCTTATCTATAGCTAATGGTGGTAATAATGAAATTGGTTTTGGTAATTCTTCACAATATGTAATACATGGTAAACTATAACGTATTATATTTTGTTTATTACTATTATGATTATGATTATTATTTATATTTTTTAATTGATTTGTTTTATGTTTGAATTCATTTGTTCTAATATTACCTTGTGGTATATCAACATAATACATTGAACGATAATTTTTAATCAATAAATGATCATTCTCATTAGAATTTAATATAGATTTATTAAGTTTTGATTCAGAACCAAATGTTAATCTTAAACTAATTGGTATACGTTTATGATTTTTCTTTATTGATTTATTATTAGTGTTACCTTTTAATTGATCATATTGTTGTTGTTGTTGTTGACATTTTAAATCTTCAACTGAAGCTACTCGTGTTATACAAATTTCTTTATCAGTTGCAGCTATATTAAATGAAAATGGTGTTTCAGTTTCAATACAAATATCTTCATTGGATGCTACACGACCAAGTAATAATTTACATGGTGGTAATGTTTGTAATGGTAATAATTTATCAACTTTAGATTGTTGTTGTTGTTGTTGTTCATTTGATTTTTGTGTAGAATTATTAGATAATTCAGATTGATTTAATTTTGTTTGTGAATTAATATCATTGATATGAATATTTAAAGTATCATTAATTAAACTGTCAATTGTGTTTAAATCTTTTTCTAAATTGGTAACAATTGGATAATCCTGAAAGAGAGAATTTATAAAATTAAAATTCAACTGAGTTTGTTGTGAAATAGTAACTGACTGAACACAATGGTGAATGTGTCACTCAATTTCATGGATGAGTTGAAGGTAGATATTAGCACATTTGGATGCCGGCTCAGTGGTCTAGTGGTTAAGCATTCGCGTGCGAGACTGGAAGGTTTTAGGTTCGAGTCTCGCGGGGCGGGATTGTGGATGTGCACTGCTGAGCATTTGCACACTAGGACGAGACAGCCGTCCAGTGCTTCCAGGTTTTCCATGTTGGTTTAGCTTTAACTGACTCGTGATATCAACTATTAAAGTTAAATTGTTGTGTGTAGTTGTTTCCGGATTATTTAACATGATCATTTTATTTTAATGAACAAATATCCTACGATAGTTACAAAACGTAAACTGGTTTAGGCTGTAAATGTAAAATTATAGAATACTTACAGTTGATTTATCATTGATTCATGTCATGTTTGGTTAGTCCAATTAGTACTGACCAAATTCTATACATCAAGTTGCAATTTAGTCATTATTCTAAGTTACTCGACATTGCATTTATTATACTGAAATATTAGGTGATCAGAGGAAGTCCTCGAGAAACGCTAGACCTAGGTTTCATGCTAATTGACATTTAACAAGATGTACCCATAATCTTAAGTGAATTTATGTTCTTCTGTAAGATCCCGACTCATGTTATCTAGCTTTTTAGTGTGAGATGTTATTACTTAGCTTTCGATCCACGAATGACTTTATGCATGACTGAAATAATGACGATTGATTTATCACTGAATCGTAACCAATGTCATGTTTGTCTAATCTTTTAGTGTTGACCGACTTCTATGGATTAAGCTGAGTAGTGAACATCATTCTAAGTGACTAATTTACTTCTGTTTAAACTACTAAAAATAGTCTAATTAATAGAGTTTTAAACTATCGTTGTTAATTAGATTACAAATGTTTGCCTTTTGTTTCATGTTTTACCTCATTTCTATGCTTGTTTTGTAAATAATGTTCACTTAATTATAATTTAAATAAACATTTCATTATAATTTGTGAAAACTATCCACTTGAATATAAATTTACGATTACGGCTGATACTGCCTGGTTTTTGCATGTTAGGCCTCTTCAACAGTGAACACTTGGAACTAAGGCAAATATCACCAATGTCATCATGAAACAACCAAGTTTGATGGTGTTTTTGATCAAGTCTGACTAAATTTTGTGTAAAGATAATACCTTTGTCTTGAGACCTGAACGTATTTAGTGATAATTGCCGATAAGTTCCAAACTAATAAGAAAAAGGTTATCCTGTGATTTGTGGGACGATGGAGACTTCTCAGATGATTTGGCTCTTCTATCGCACACGCAACAAATAAAGGAGAAGACGACAAGTGTAGTAGCAGCCTCAGCAACAGTAGGTCTCAACATGCACAAAGGGAAAAGCAAGATTCTTCGATAAAACATAGCATGCATCAATCCAGTCACAAATGACGGAGAAGATTTGGAAGATGTAAAATCCTTTACATATCTGGGCAGCATCATTGATGAACACAGTGGGTCTGATGGACATATGAAGACACGGATCGGTAAAGCAAGAGCAGCATATTTACAATTGAAGAACATCTGGAACTTAAAACAACTGTCAACCAACACCGAGGTCAGAATTTTCAATACAAATGTAAAAACAGTTCTACTATATGGGATGGAAATCTGGAGAACTACGAAAGCCATCATCATCCAGAAGTTACAACTGTTTATTAACAGTTGTCTACGGAAAATACTTCGGATCCGTTGACCAGACACTATCAGCAACAACTTAATATGGGAGAGAACAAACCAGATCCCAGTGGAGGGAGAAATTAGGAAGATGCACTAGAAGTGGATAGGACACGCATTGAGGAAAGCACCGAACTGCATTACAGGGCAAGTACTCATATGGAATCCACAAGGCCAAAGGAGGAGGAGAGGAAGATCAAATAACACATTACTTTGAGAAATGGAGACAGACATGAGAAGAATGAACAAAAATTAGATAGAACTGGAAAGGGAGGTAGAGTGGGACAGAGTGGGTTGGAGAATGCTGGTCGATGACCTATCCTTCATTACGAGTAACAGGCGTAAGTAAGTAAGTTCAAAGTTGAGGACTCGAACCCATATATTCAATGTAAATATGACTAAATCGCTAACAAAAATGATTATTGCGAGCTAGATACTAGTAAAAGATAAACTCAATCTTTTGTGTATCATTTCGACACTAATAAAGAAAATTATTATGGTTTAATTGTAACTCAATAGATGATACTAAAAAAATGTTTACTATGAAAAACCATGAACTGCTTAATGACTTCAAAATATACTGAGAGGTACTTGAGTTTTTGAATTTTAAAATTTTATTTTTTATACATTTCAAAAGTAACTCACATGAACACAAACTGGTGGAGGAACTGTTTTTACTTTTGGTGAAGTTTCTGCAAATCCATCTTTATTCATTTTTTCAGTACACTCTTCAACTGCATTCACAATTGATCCAGCTGATACAAATCCTGAACTTAAAGCTAATGGACTTGGTTGAAGATATGGACTATTACATTGTTCTAAAGTTACATCTGGTTTACGACGGCATGGACTTAATGTAACAGCATGACGAAGACTTGATCTAAGACGTCCAGGTATCCGCTTAGTGTCTGTGTTTGTTTCTGTTAAATCATCTGATTTTTCACTTATTAATAATTTAGGACTTCTGGATTTATTATCTGAATATGATGTTTGTTCAGTTGTACCAGTTTTAAATTTGTTCTTATCCATTTGTTTTTCTACTGGTGAATTTTTATCTCCATTATATTGTGTAATTGATGAAATTGGAGAAAGAGAAATATTTTTATATGGTTTACTAATTTTGGTCCATTGACATGTATTATTTTTATGTTCTGTTTTTACTGATTCACTTGGTGTTAAACTGATTTCAGCTGAAGATCTTTCATTTGTTATTGTTAAAGAGGTTGGATTGACCGGTGAAGAGGCAGTTTTAAATTTCGGTTGTTTGCTTATGAGAATATGAAAAATGAAATTTTAATAGAATAGCATATTTTCATATATACCGAATAAACTTCTGTTTACTAATAATAATCATGTAATATTTTAAAACTGTATTTTTGTAGATAACCAAGAAGTCATCTCCAATTATCTAATTCATTTTAATTTATTTCTATAGGCATTTAGAAATGTGGTGTGAACTACTTATATTGATATAAGTAGTGTATAACGTGCGTTAAAAGAACTTAATGTTTGGCAGCAAAATATGGCAAAGATCAAGCAAGATGGAGCGAGAACATAATGGAATTTGTAAAAAAAACCTATGAACAATGGAATGGGAGACAATGGATTGGTGTTTGCAACAGAAACAATCCAGTTTGGTTTGATGCGTGGATATTTTGCAAATTGACAATTTAATATATGGTATTCAGATATTGTTGAAATAGACTGTAATTGTTATGATTAATACATCCGTTTGTCCCCACCCGTGTTGTTGTTCAATACAGAAACATCTAAACACAAATGAAAACTGGCTGTGGATATGTCAAATCCTAGCGAAGAATAAATGAATGGTAACTGCCAGGAACTGTCTACGGATTGTTATTGTATAACTATTAAGTGACTAGATTATATATATTTATCATAAGCTTTAATTTAATCCTTTGACTATTATTACACGAATTACTATTTTTAAGTTATTCCCAATTTAATTGTTACAGTCTCTTACACTCACAGCCACTTTTTGGTTTGATCTTGTACAATTATTATTTTCTTTTTTATCGTATGATGCGTCTGATTTGTTTGTATATAAACTGCTTATATCTGAATTATATGATTCATACGATGAAAGCTGAGATTGTGTTCTGGACTTAAACCGGCAGGGATAGGTGAGAAGTAACGATCGAGACTCAGAGTTGATTCCAGGCTGTTCGTGCTGATTAACGCGTCATTGGTTTGGCACAGTGCCAAAGTCATATAAGTTGATATTGTAATTGGTGATCTTATCACGTGATAATTAACAGGGCAAAAATCATGACCTGTGAAATATTTCTAGTTATTATCGAAGTAACAGAATGGATGAATAAAAAGACTTGATATGAATCTAACGATGTAAAGGTTTGAAAGTTAATACATGTTCATTAGCTCACTGTTAATCCCAGTATAACTTTAGATCCAAAACCAAAAATATTTTTTAAATAGACTTATTCTATCCAGTTTTCATATAATTTATTATTTAGTTGTTTTTCGAAGTTGAATTCCTAAATAGTTGAAAGTTGTTGAGGAAATCTTCGGTGAGACTTTTATTTTTTGATGACCTTTGAGAGACTCTAAAGTGATCTTGAGAGTGTTCACCATAGCATTATGGCTAAATGAGGATTATAAATCAATTTGAGGAATTAGGATTAATATTTACAGTTGATAGTTAGGGTTAGGAATCACATATAGAGTTCTCATCACGAACTGACATCAGTTATCATGTCAAAACTGTATTTAGTCAAATGAATGGATTAATTTCGCGCCAAAATTCAAGACCTGTGATTGTAAATTTGATTGGTTCGTTCATAAATTATACCTTCGCCAAATTTTTCTTGACGTTACTACTTTGTACAAATGAGTTAATTATACATACTTTGTGAACTTTAGACTTAGTAACTGTACGTTTCAGAGAATTTCATTTGATCTAGAAAAATGCTAAAGTATAATAGATAAGAAAAAACGCAGACGTAGAACTCAGAAGTGTTTTATATTACCTGACCTAAATAAGGTTTTTTTGAAATTTGTTCTGTCCCATGAATTAAAAGTTGAAATACATAAGTGTAAGTTTCCTTGAGAAATTTATAAACAATCTATCCATAGATTAGATTAATCAAGTAAAAACAATCTTTAGTGGGTTTTCAACAACCTTCCCTGAATAGTGATTAGAAAACATACCACACTGTTAAATTCACTTGGTGTTGTTTATTTATATCTTTCTGCCAACATGAGACTGATCAATTGTAGTCTTAAACATCAATGGGAAGATTCATGTAAAACAAGTGAATTTAAAACTTCACTACATTGAACAAGCAAGCGGTTATCAGGACTCAACAGCTAAATGGATAACAGAATGACGTTTGAAGAGAACAGTACTGTGTTCGAGTCTTAGAGTGAACATCAATTCTCAGATACAGGTACATCCAGCTGACAAATCCTGAATAGATTCTATTACTACACTATATTTTCACTCTGTAAAACATAATAATAATAAAGCAATTTCGTGGATTGGTTGATGTTAGACACTATCACCATTGGATACCGGCTCAGTGGTCCAGTAGGTTAAGCGTTCGAGGGCGAGACTGAAGGCCCTGGGTTCGAATCCCGCGACCGGGATCGTGGATGAGCACTGCTGAGGAGTCCCAAAACAGAACGAAACAGCTGTCCAGTGCTTCCAGGTTTCCAAAGGTGGTCTAACATCAATCGGTTCATGATCTCAATAAAAAAAATAATAAAGCGTTCCAATTCTAAAAGACATAAACAGATGGTCAAACAACATTTTTCATTTGTATTCAATATTTGACTATTTTTTTTCAATAGGCAATTACTTTCAGCTACAAGGTAATTTCTTGAAAATAAGAATCATAATTTTTATTATTAGAAAACAAAATACCCTACTGTTAATTAGTTTGTTGTCAACTAAATGATTATTTATTTGAAATATATAACTTGTTCAAAATGAAATGAATAGTTGAATATCACCATGGTAATTAAATGAACAAACTATTGTCCTATTACTAGATTTCATATACAAAAAAATATTCAACAACAAAAAATAAAAAAGTGATATTTTAAAGAATAATCACAAGAAGAAAAAGAAAGAAGTTGAATCATGTTAGTCCCGAAGAGGGAAAATAGGAAAGATGAACGATTGAACTGAAAAAAATTTGAAAAGTAGGAAGAGAAGATAGAAAAAGATAAACCATTTGATATAAACAAAAAATGTAGATAATATAATAAAATCAGAGAGACTGTTGTCATTGAGAAAATGACATTTAGATAGAAAGATGGAAGGATCTTTTTCACTCCCATCTGTCAGTATGTTTATTTGCGCTTGTATATATATATATATATATATATATATATATATATATATATATATATATATATATATATATAGAGAGAGAGAGAGAGAGAGAGAGAGAGAGAGAATGATTGATTTTAGTTTTCTTCATGGGAATGTTAATATTGATCCATTTTGTTTCATTATAGTACGTTTATTTTGGTGACTTTTTTCCTAATTTGATCTACAAAATTTTTGAATTGTAATTGCTTTGATACATTAACATAAGCTAATGTGTCACTCAATTTCGTGGATTAGTTGAAGGTAGACATTAACATCTTTGGATGCCGGCTCAGTGGTCTAGTGGTTAAGCATTCACATGAGAGACTGATAGGTCATGGTTTCGAATCCATTGAGGGGGGGGGTTGTAGATGTACACTGCTGGGGGGTCACACACTAGAATGAAACGGCCGTCCAGTTCTTCTAGATTTTCCATTTTATTTATTTATTATTTATTTTAACACATAGATATTAGTACAAGGAGGCACCAAATACATATACATATGCGCCACACAAATCTCATTTGATATGTGTGAAGGCTGTGATACTGCCCGGCTGCCCAAACCGAAGCAGGTGGTGTTCATAGGGGACCACACCTGCAGCCTCCTACCTGAAGGTCTGATCCACAAAGCAGTGGAGCATCGTAAGGCGATTCAGTTCCATGGTAGCCGGTGACCAACAGTTGGTTCATACGCCATCTGCTCCCTCAGAATACTGGGGCCCATGGGCACCATTGGTTTGGAATCATGGTTTCCCAACTCCCCTCGGTGAACTCACCGTGTCCACCGGCCTGTTTAAATCTCTGGACATTCGCTTTTCGTCCTCTCAATTTCGTAAACAACATCCGGACTGCGTGAAGGCAGTGAGCAGGACTTCCCTGGCAGGGGCTATATACGCGTGGCCATGTGAGAGCGGACTCTCGCTCAGCCGTACCAGGGCATTCGGGAGCAGGTTTTCCATAGTGGTCTAGCTTCAACTGATTCATGATCTTAACTATTAAAACTACTTTACAAATATATTATTTATATTTATATTAAAACTACTATAATATCCACAAAACCCCTTCTGATAATAAGCTAATTGAACAATAAATACTCAAGAAGCAGTATGTTTATGTAATCTATGTAAGAGCTCAACATTGTGGCCTGGCCTAAATTCTTAGAGTTATCATCTTGTACAAATATGTATTTATCGTCAATAATTTTTGTTTATAGTGGAGATCATGAATCGATCGATGTTAGACCAATATTGAAAACCTAACATGGATCGATTCATGATCTCAATCAAAAACCTAACAATCTCCACAACCCCCTACTGATAATTTTCGTTTAACTGGATTTGCTTCAATTAACTAATGATGTATGTGAAATATCACGAATCTATTTTGCTGAAAACTCAAGAAGTAACACTGTGATTTATTCTATTTATGTCTGTCGACATAAGCGATACGTGAAACCAATCGGAAGTGAAAAACCTGGCAGCAGAAGGCTAAAAAGAGTGAGCTGAAGTGAATAGAAGGGAATTACGAAATGGAAGAAACATAAAGAATGTGAAGGAAAAATGATGTAATTTTGAAAACGAAGTGTTCAGTTGTCGGGTTCTCATTATTTTACCAAGACATTCCTTAATTTTTTAAAGCCCATTGGTAGTTTCCACTTGTGTTCTCGTTAACAGGAGGTTTATGTTTCTATATTTTATTGTCATTTAAAGAACTACCCAACTCATACATCAGAACTATTCGTAGCTAGAAAAAGATGCTATTAAAAACAAAAATCATTCGAAACATTAGAAATAATATGAATGATAGCCAAGCACTGCTTCAAACACGTTTTATACATATTTTTTCTGAATATTTACAGTTAGGATGTGCAGGAAAATATACCAATAGTTATCATGTTAAGTCTAATGTTGTCCTTGGACGCTAAATGTATATTTCCTATTGGTCGATACTTACTTCACTTGTTTAATATTGTGTAAATGTTGTTATGGTACGATGTGGTCTGCTTGGTTAGTATATAAACAAAGTGTGTTTGAAATATAATGATTCATATTTCAGAGGCTGTGACTTGCGTTCTGGACTCAACTGGCTGGGATAGACAGGGAAGCAGGGCCAATCGGGACTCTAGGTCGTTCGTACGTATTTACGTGTCACTGAATCGATCGATATAAAACGCTGTACATCTAAACCTTCAGTCACCCGTTACAACATTTACAAGTTAAATGTTTATAAAAAAAGAATTTCATTGCTAGTGAGCATATAATGAGCCAAGTACTCTTCTTGAATAAAGCGTACAAAAGAAATATGTCCAACAGCTTCTATTCCCGTGGATGAATTCAGGTTCAATAAATCAATAGTCAGAGTAACTTTAACGTGATTTAACTGCTATACAAAATATCCTCCCCTTTAGTATTTCCATAACTTAAATTTATCTATTCGAATTTCATCATTGTTATGATCTACAAATAATTGTTTATTTTATTATCGCTAATATTGTTACTATTGCGAATCTAATTAACGCTCATCTCATCCTTCGTCTTATGTATATTACGTAAACTTTGACCAAAAAAATGATTTAATTTGTAGTTATGTTGAGAGTTGAACTGTCTTTTTTAGTTTCGAATACAAGATCGTCTTAATTTGAGGTTTGCGTTGTTACTGATTGTTGTCTATTGCTTCCCGTAGTAAATGTTAGTGCATTGTGTGAACTTACTGAGTTATTAGCTTACATTTTTTTCTAATCTCTTTGTTACTCGTGTTACTCTGAGTGCTCCCCTAGTTCACAAAGTACCTTCTAGATAGATGTGAACCGTTTCGGTTGCATAGTTTACCTCACACTATGTCATCAAAGTATATTCTACTTATTGATTTCATAATTTAAACTACCTTATAATTTGATTCTGGTTAATATTAGAAATCAATCACTTCCAAATTTACACGTTTATTCTGTCCTATTATTAATCCTAAACTTCATGTAATTTTGGAAGATATACTTCTTTTAAAATTGACTATCTCCCTTGTAACATTAAAGAGCTTTTATAACGATAGGGCCTATTCATTTTTATGACTACCCACTGAAATACTAATGTTTTTTACTCGGTTGTGAAGGAAACAATATAGCTAAAATTTCTAGGTAGGGAGAAGGATCGATAAGGACTCTAGACTGCTCGTACAGGTTTCATGCGTCATCGGTTCGGTCGATAAATCACTGTTTCTAATTAGCGGTATCAGTACGTTACATATTAATAGGGCACAAGGTCACAAGTTATAACACCAATTCTTAACCCATAATTCTAATTCTTCACACTAGTTTATAACTCTCATTTAGTCCTAGTAGAGTAGGTGGACATTTTCAAGGTCATTTCCCCAAGAAATATTTATAAAAACACAAATGAAAAGTATTTGCAAATATACATATACAACACATTGGTTTACGTATGTATGTAACGAACTTACAAAGATACCGGGGTATTTTGATTAGTTGAATTAGTTTTCTGACATGAATCTGTTGAAGCTGAAGAAAATCATCAAAATGTTTATTTAGAACTTTATTATCATAACAATTATTATTATTTGATATAATGTTTACTTGATCCTAAGCAAATGTTTAAATAAAGTTGTGTAACACACTCATTTTATAACACCTTATGTAGCTCTTCTAGAGTTACTGCCAGTCTCAGGTCTGGATAAAGGAGGAGGGTTGAGCATGTGGTCATCAACCCCGTCCCGTAGAAAGAAAATCTTGCTAAAAAGGTCCCAACTAGATAAACGCTCATTGTATACCTTGACTGGTTTAATAATTTCCATGTATATGCATATAAATATTACTGCAAAAATCGAACTTAATGGAGACCTAATTACAAAAATTTTTGTTCACTTCTTATATTTGATTTTATAACTGATTCTAGTACTTCAAAAAAAATAGTATTGACTAACAGCCTGAATGTGTTCAATTGAAGTGCAGTGATATAAAACAGCCTTAAATTTGTCAGTTTTAAAATATAATTAAATGACAAAATTCAAAAGTCATGTTCTAGGGTTTAAATTAAGGTCAAAACAATGAAATTCTATTAATTAACTTTAAAACTTAAATCCGAAATTAGTCCACTGAATAGTTATTATAAGTACTTTTTGTTGCAATCTTGAAAGCTTCTAGTTTTGCTGAGCTCGCTGAACTAGATGGTTTAAACATGGGCTTTTCATTGTCGTTTTGAACTACATGATCAGAGTTTACTTCATGTGGAAGTGATATTCCTATTTTTCTTTACAAGCTTTAAATAAGTTTGTCCTATTGCTTTTGTATATAGTTGATTATTCTCATGTGTTTTAATATCTTCAGTTGTTCTGTAATCAAGTTGACTATCTTATCTGATTGAGCTTTGAGCAGCTTGCTGATTGACCTTTTTACGAATAAGTAATACTGTCCAGAAAGACAATGAAAGTCTTGCAATTAAACCATTTAGATTAGAATATTCAACAACATCAAAGACAACCATTTGAGCTGAAAATCTCTATCATTTTAAAATCACGTAAGCGTAATACCCTGAAGACATTCATTTAATTAATCAACAAAACATTTTAAGCACTAAAAAATAAAGCTACTCCAGGTATCTACCTCAGTACAATGAAAGATGGTAGCTCAATTTCGCGGATTGGTTGAGGTTAGACATTAACACCGTTGGATGCCGACTCAGTGGTCTGGAAGTTAAGTGTTCGCGCGCAAGCCTGAAGGCCCTGGGTTGGAATCCCGTGAGCTAGCTGGATCATGCATGCGTACTGCTGAGTAGTCTTACACTAGTACGAAACGGCCATCCAGTGCTTCTAGGTTCCCAATGGTGGTCTAACATCAATCAGTTCATGATCTCAATCAAAAGTCTTTTTAATAGTTGCTCAGTAAAAGTAAGATGTGATTAGCCAGTGAGATTGAATATTATGACAAATTACTTAAATTTTAATTAATATCAATAAATTAAAATAAATAAAATTTACTTATAGACTGATTAAATGCTTCATATAATGCGGTATTAGCAGCAACAGCCAAATTAAGCGCATCAGTATAAGATGTTGATGGGACGACTTTTTTAAATTGATTATTTCTTTCATTTATTGATCTTGAATTATTATTTCCTAAATGTTGTTCAACTATATGATAGGGAAATGGAATTAAATGAAAATAATTAAAAATAGAGATACTATTGAAATAAACGTTTAAAGTAGTATATAGTGATAGTTTGTTCAATTAGAAATTCGATATTTCTATATGTTTTAAAACAGAAAACAGGTACTCGTTTCTTATCATGAATCAGTATGTTATGAGAGAAGACAAATAAACTGGAACATCACACGATTTATTCCCGATTCCAGTCTGATTCCCGATTTCCGATTGGTGTAAAAACATACAGGAGTAAATAAATGACTAACATGACCACAACGCACAATAATTAGGAAAATACAGTTATGTCGAAAACTGGAGATTAGCGTAGAAAATAGAGTACAAAAGATTACGTTCAAATTACAATAGCTTTGGAACAGAAAAGGTTATGGCAGTGAATCATACCATCAAACGAAAGCTTATGATTTGTAGAACGGACTAGGGACAAAATGAAATAACGTCCCGAAAAATAGCTGCCGTAGTTTATCAAGCCTTCTTGTTTCTCTGTTTACATCACAATAATATTGTTCAGCTTCTTCTCGTTATAAATAGTTTCAGTCATCATTTCAGTTGATTTATTGTCAACTAGTTATATGGTATTATTTACTTGAACCTTTTTAAAAATGAATATTAGTGAAAAATAATGGTTTTATTTAAATGAAAATTATTGAAATTGATAAAAATCCATTAATGAATATCACCTCAATTAGTGAAACTGTTAATTGACAAATATGAAAAGGTAACAACTGTTTTCGAAGAACAGTATGTACTTAGAAAGGTTTGATTTGTTTTAAGATATATGAGACACACCGAATAGCTTCAAACAACGATAGAATAGTTGTCAAATGCTGGAGTTAATTTCAGTTACTTATTTGCGCCTGTTACCTGTTGTGGAGGAGCATAGGTCGCCTATCAGCATTTTCCATCCAACTCTGTCCTGGACAACCCTTTTCAGTCGCTATTCATCCTTTTGATATGTTCCTCAAATTTCCGACGTACTATGTTCTTAGGCCTTCCAGCTTTCCATTTCCTTTCAGGGCTCCAAGTTAGCGCTTGCTTCGGGATGCAGTTTGACGATTTGCGTAGTGTATGTCCATTTCAATCGTCTTCTCCTCATTTCCTCTTCAGCTGGAAGCTGGTTTGTTCACTCCCACAAAAGGCTGTTGCTGATGGTTTCCAGTCAATGCGTGTTGAGTATCGTGCATAGACAACTATTTATAAATACTTGTACCTTCTTGATGATGGTTGTAGTAGTTCTTCACGTTTCAGCTCCGTACAGTAGAACTATCTCGACGTTCGTTTCGGAAATTCTGATTTTGATATTGGTTGATAGTTGTTTTGAGTACGAGATGTTTTTCAACTGTAGGAATAAACCACTGTTTTGCCAGCACTTACTCTTTCATTTGCATTAGAACCTCGACGTTCATCGATGATGCTACCCGGATACGTAAATCTTTCTACCTCTTCTAGACTTTTTCCATCATGTGTGACAGGGTTGATGTTCGCCGCATTGTATTTGAAGATCTTGGTCTTTTCTTCGTGTATGCTGAGGCCTGGTGATGTAGAGTCTTCTGTTATATTGGTTGTCTCGGCCTACGTTTGCTTATGTGCATGTGATAAAAAATAAATTAACTTCGAATTTAGGGATTAATTCATAAATACTATAACGATTCACATTTAGTATATAAAATTATGTGAAGCATTAAAACAAGAATGGGAAATCATTCCTTGGTTTATTTAAACGTGCATTGTAATACATAAGTTGTTAATGGTCAAAGTTAATAAACATACAAAATTTATGAATGCGTTTATATTTCCCTTTGAAGAAGGAGCTTGGTCCTAGGTCACTATATTATTTGTAAAAGTTTATATTTACTCGATCTTGATGATAAAATTTGAATTTAACCAATCTTTTTTAACTGAATTCCCCAACGTTACAGATACATCCTTAAAAATCGTAACACCTACTACATCCATTCGACAAATCGATAACTATGGTAATCCAGCTACTTAGTTATTACCAAATTTATATATGTCATAGCGAATAGTAGATTTTAATTTCAATGTAAACATCTATACTAGAATGTACAAAGATATGTATCTGATGAGCGACTAATGGGACAAAACATTACTATTAATCAAAAATGGATAGTAGCTAGTAGTGGAATCGAGGACGCACGTTTCGTCCTATTTGATACTCGTCAGATGAATATACCTGCATCTCAGAGTTAACATTCACTCCGGGACTTGAATCCAGTACCATTCTCTTCAAACGTTATTGTCTTATCCAGTTAGCTACTAAGTCCTGATAAACATGAGTTTGTACAATGAGGTGAAGTTTAAATTTACTTGTTGTTGTTTTACTTGTATCTTCCCATTGTTATTTAAGACTGCAATTGATCAGTCTCTTATTGGCATATATGCATCCTGTGCAAATTACCTCGATATAGCCTAACGTTACAAGCATTTTTTTCAAGCAAAGATAGGACGATACAAGTAGAACAACACCAAGTGAATTACTATTCATCGATTGTATAACAAATATACAGTTCTTTACTATCTATAATTTCATTTATGCTTAAAATTGAAAGAATTTAAAGGAATACATGAAATTCTAGCGTAGGCAATAGTTGTTAACTAATATATAGTTAAACTGATAAATGTCATATCGAAATTAGTCATTTAATATTGTTTCATAATACTTTCTAATTTATAAGTTAGTTTATGTTATAAAGTCTAAAGTTAGACTAAGATTGAATGTTAACCATTCAATTGTATTATTGTTTTCAATTGTATTACTGGATCCTAATTTATGATAATAATAATAAACAATCCTTATATGTATAGGTTTAGATTTCTTCAAAAGGAATTATTGTGAAAATTGTTTAAATGTCAAAGAAAGAAAAATAATTCGTCATGTATGGATCAATAGTCTATAAGAAATCTAATTTGAATCATTAAAATCATTTGGTTACATAATTGAAAACTTGATATTGTTTATTTGAATCTTCTTATTAATGTTTAGGACTGCAATTGATCAGTCTCTTATTGGTATATGTGCATACATCAATGGGAAGATTCAAGTGAACAATACCAGGACTTAGTAGCTAAGTGGATAAGACAATAACATTTGAAGAGAACGGTACTGAGTTCCAGTCCCAAAGTAAACATCAACTTTGAGATGCAGTTACATCCAGCTGACGATTATCAAATATGACGGAAAGTGCGTTTTAGATTCCACTACTAGCCACTATCCATCTTTGCACATAATACTTGTAACTTTATAGTATGCATTAGAAAAGACAATTTGAATGACAAAAAGAACTCGAAACAGTTACAATCAGAATACCATTTTTGGTATATGCCCGTTGTTTCTATGAAGTACAATAACTTTTCAAATTAAAACAATTAACTTAATTGATAAATTTAAATACTTATGAATTTCATTCTCATATTACATTATCTGCAATAAATTATTCTACTCATTGATACAAACGAAATATTCTACTCAGTTTACTTAGACTGACAACATTACTCTCAACCATTAAATTACTATAATATTCACGAACAATCCCTTTCTGATAATAATCATGATATGTTCACCAGTGACTGGCTTCAGGAGATATTTCCTGAAGTTCTGGTGAGAAACGGTGATCAGGGAGTTTAACCGTGTCTTTTATGAGACAGTAACTCATTGAACACATTGGTGAACGGTGGCTCACTTTCATGGATTGATTGAAGTTAGACGTTAAAAACACTGGATGCGGGCTCAATGGTCTAGAGGATAAGACTGCACTGCTGAGGAGTCCCCTGCTAGGAAGAAACAGCTGTCTAGTGCTTCCAGGTTTTCCATGCTGGTCTAGTTTCAATTGACTCATTAACTCAACGAATAAATTATTATAATATCCGCCAAAAAACCTTTCTGATAATAAATGAATATTCGTATTACTGTTATCATTAGTCGAATTTAACTACCTATAATAAAACATATGAACTTAACTAATCTGTCACTACTCAAATAACATGATATAGTTAGTTTCACTGTGCATCTTGAAGATGTATTATTTCATCTGAATAGCTATATTTATAGCTAATTGTTATAAAGTATAGTATTCCATGACTTGTAACTAGACGAATTCTACAGATTTTGAATATTCATGGCTATTTTTGTTGATCCTATTTCTCTTTTATTTCCAGGTTCATATTAATCCCCATTTAACTATTAAACATATTGAATATATTATTATTATTACTAATAGTAGTAATAGTAGTATTAGTATATATTTTAATTCGCACAGTAGGTGAGTTAATTGTAGACAGTATAAATCAAAGCAATTTAATTTAGTCTACCTGTAAAGATTTCCCACTGTGAGATGATAATATTTATTAGTTATTTTTGTAACTAAGTCTACTTTTCAAAAACCTTTTTAACATTTTTCTCCCTAAATGGTTATATATAATGAAATGAATGAATTAACAACTGATCATTAGGAGAAAAAAGTGCTGATTTTCGAGAAGTATTTTAAAGTAATCAATATTATAATCATAAAGGGGTTTTGTGGAAATTATAGTAATTTAATAGTTGAATTTATAAGTCAATTGAAGCTAGACCACTATGAAAAAACCTTGAAGCACTGGACGGTTGTTTCGTCTTGGCATAGGATTCCTCAACAGTGTGGATCCACGATCCCGCCTCGCGATATTCGAACGCAGGACCTATCAGTTTCGAACTTGAACGCTTAATCCCTAGACCACTAAGCCGTCATCCAATTATTGATATCTACTAATAAAATATTCATGTTATGTTTTTCAAACTAAGTGAAGTTATTGTGATAATAAGGATGTAGTTTAGAGAGGGAATAAATCTCGTTTCAAGTATTCTCATTCTTATATTTGTATAAGCTTATATACATAGAGATATTTTATAGCAACGATTAATCGAATATAGTAAAGAAGAAAAAAAAAGATGCACATAACATTTCTACTTCCATAGTCAATGACAAGTTTCTTAACAGTTAAACAAAGATTAATATAATGATGGATAGTGGCTGACGGTAAATGCAGGACGCGCGTTTCGTCCTATTTGCGACTCGTCAGCTGGATGTGCCTGTATCTCAGAGTTGACGTTCACGAAATGCGCCTCCAGGATTCCACTGCTAGCCACTATACATCATTGCTTACAAAAAGCTTGTGAATTAAGGCAATATCGAGGTATACGCACAGTATGCACATATGCCAATAACAGACTGATCAATTGCAGTCTTAAAAAACTCAATGGGAAGATACAAGCCAAATAATACCAAGTGAATTTAAAGATTAATATATTTTGTGCTTCACTTCTTTCTCTTTTTTCTTCTACTTCTTTTCTGTATAATTTCGTTTCAATCTTACTGTATTGAATATTGATTCGAGATAAAATAAAAATGTACTATGATTAGTTTAGTTGAATGCACTAATACATACATACTTACATGTTAACTATTATAACAAAAATTCATTGAAATAAGTATAGAAGATTGTATTATTTATTTAGGGTTAGTTACACTGTTATATTATGTTTACTAATAGGGTCATTAGCTAATATTCGATTATATCCTATTGGTAAATTATGTAAACATTACTTTATGTTAAGTGTATGTAAAGCGATTAAATCATTTTCACATCAATATTACTGTCTTCTTCCTTATATACATTTATATCTATCTATCTATCTATCTATCTATCTATCTATCTATCTATCTATCTAACTATCTATCTATCTATATGTATATATAAAACGGGATAAAATGTACACATAATTATAGTTGGTTATTATGCCTATCAGTTTAGCAAAATGTGATAATTTAAACAATGAACATTCAATCAAATTTGTATACATAGAGTAAAAAATTACTAAGAAGTACTATGGTTGAATTCGATAATATAAATTATCACTTATTCAAGCATAAGTTTCGATTGAAAAATCTTAATTTAAAATAAATAATTAAGATTTAGTTTACAAAAGACTTTATTATTATTATTGTTATCTCAGAGTGAATATTAACTCTGAGATGCAGTTACATCTAACTGACGAATGTCAAATAGGACGAAACGTGCGTCCTGGATTCCGTTGCTAACCATTATCCATCTTTGCTTATAATGCTTATGAATTAATGCAATATCGAGGATTCACATATGCCAATAAGAGACTGATCAATTGTAATCCTAAACATCAATGGGAAGAGTCTAGTAAACAATATTAAGTGAACTTAAACTCCATCCCATTGCACAAGTAAGCGGCTATCAGGACTCAGTAAAATATGATAATTATGGACTTATAACTATAGAGCCTGATGATGAATTTAATGAAAACAATTGTTCGCTCAAATATTCTTCATTTTTGAATAGTCTATGGGGATTTTTAAACTGCTGAAATGTTGTTTCATATTTTATTGGCACGTTGTATTCTGTTTGATTGGTATATAAACTCAGTATGTTTGAAATATAACGATTCATATTACAGAGGCTCGGATTAGTGTTCTGCAATTAACTGGCTGGGCTAGGCGGAAAGCAGGATCAATCAGAACTCTAGGCTGCTCGCACGTATTTTACGCGTCCTTGTTTTGATCGATAATTCACTGCCCTCTAATCGGCAGTCACAAGTTATAACAGCAATATTGAGGCAATCTGCATAAGATAGATATAGGTCAATAACTAACTGATCAAATTGAGTCATACATATTAATGGGAATATTCAACCAAACAACAGAAAAATGAATTTTCTAGTCGTTTATTTTAAGTAATAATGTTTATCTTAATTCTAACAAATATCTCTCAGTAGTCAGAAAGGAAGGCTTAGAAAAGAATGGGTGGGAAAATGATGGTCGGCGGGAGTACCAGGCGTAAGTAAGTAAGTAAGTAAGTAAGTAAGTAAGTAAGTAAGTAAGTAAGTAAGTAAGTAAGTAAGTAAGTAAGTAAGTAAGTAAGTAAGTAGGTAGGTAGGTAGGTAAGTAAGTAAGTAAGTAAACAAATAAACAGAATAGTTAAAAGCTAACAATTGATATTTAACTTAATACTCATATATCACGATATTTGTAAACTGTTTCATCTGTATAAAAGAATTTAAAGGGAAAATAAGCTCAGTTCAACCTAGTATATGACTAGTTCTCTTTTCATTGTATATCATAGTTTAACAACGATATTTTGATTGAGTAATTGGGTGAGTAAATACATGAAATAAATCATGATTATAATATCAAGTTAATGAGCTACCTTAATGTAAACATTAATTTTCTGAATATGAAAATATCTTCAAGTATAACGAGGTATACACACAAATTCATCATTTATTCATAGACCGTTCATTGTTTAGACTAGGTGAATTGTGGCTAGCTGTGGAATTCAAGACGCTTCAACTGTATGTGACTACATATAATTTGAAAAGAATAATTAGATTAAAACTCTTCGAAAATGTAGTAAGCTTAAATAAGTCCATCTTGAACTTTTGTTTTGTTAGTAGATGAATCTAATGTATTAGTGTGTATGTTTTATTGAAGATTTCATTTCAATTCAAAACGTTTAATATTTTTATGATTTTGTCCTACATCATGAGTTGCTGTACACTAACTTTTTCATAATGGACAGCTATGGATAACTCCAGACTCTTCAGATGAAAAAGTTAGACATTAACATTGTTGGATTCCAGCTCAATGGTTTAATGGGTTAGCGCTTGCTTGAAAAATTGATTGGTCCTAGGTTCGAATCTCGCGAAGCGGAGTCGCAGATGCACACTGCTGAGGAGTCCAGTGCTAGAACTAAACAGTCGTTCAGTGCTTGCAGGTTTTCCGTATTGGCCTAGCTTCAACTGACTCGGTGAGAGCAGTTTTGCTCTATGCTTGTGAAAACTGGTCTCTCCGAGTTGAGGACGTTAGACGACTCTCTGTGTTCGATCATCGCTGTCTCCGAAGGATTGCTGACATTCAGTGGCAACACCATGTCAGTAATGCAGAGGTTCGTAATCGTGTGTTCGGGCACAGAGATGATAATTCAATTGGTGTCACCATCTTGAAACACCGACTTCGGTGGCTTGGACATGTTCTACGAATGTCGTCCCAGAGAATTCCACGTCGTGCATTATTTGCCGACTCTGGGACTGGTTGGAAAAAGCGGAGAGGTGGTCAGTGCATGACATGGTGTCGTGGTATGAAAGAAAGCTGCAAAAAACTGGCTTCTATCGGTCCTTCACGACTCCCTGGTTGGGGTCTGAGAGATGGTGCTACATAGTGGCTAGAGACGTTATCAGATATGGCTCAGAATAGAAGCCAGTGGCGATCCTGCTGTAACCTTCTTTTACTTTCTTCATAAAAAGTGGTTGTCTCCCTTATCTGAAAGATTTATTCTGATTGTACCTTTCCGTTCTCTCGTTACTACCACACTACCTTACACCAATCTCTTCGTTATTGTTCTCTTTTTCTTTTGCGCTCCTTAGATTTTTTTTTCTATCTCTCTTCAAATTCTCATTGTTTTGTGTGGTGCATATATATTGGCGCTCTTTTGTATCAATATTTGTGTGTTCAAATAAAATAAAATAAAACTGACTCATGAATTCAATTATTAAATTACTATAATATCCACAAAACCCCTGTCTGAATACATATATATTACACTACTCAAACAAAAAAACCAGTAAGCATCTCATTAGAAAAAACAATACCTGAGTTAGTTTGTAATATATTTATTGGCTTGTAATCATCTTGTTTCAATTTGATAGATTCTGTTTTATCCAATTCATATGTTTTACGTCTTAATTTTGGAGTGAGAAAATTTCGAAATGATTTCACTGTTGAAGTTTTATATCGATTGATAGGTGAATTCATATTAGGAAGTGGAATATTTGGTTCATATGGATGATGAATTGATCCTTGTATATTCGATGTTAAATTAACCGGGCTATTAGATGAATAATAATTTGGTATATTTGTAAAATTTTCTATTTGTTGAATAGGTTGTAAAACAACAGCGTTACTAGTGAAGAAAACAAAAGGTTAACTGTGATTCATAATAAAAAAAATCTACATCAGATTGAAGATTATTGATCTTATTTATATAAATAAAAATAACTTATTGTTTTCAGAAAGGGGTTTTGTGAAGATCGTAGTAATTTAATAGTTGGATTCATGAGTCGGTGGCGCAAGTTCGTGGATTAGTTGAAGTTAGACAGTAACGCCATTGGATGCCAGCTCAGTAGTCTAAAGGTTAAGCATTCGAGTGCGAGACCGATAGATCATGTGTTCGAATCCCTCGGGGTGAGAGGAGTCTTATACTAGGACAAAAACGTCTTCCAGTGGTTCTAGGTTTTCCATGATGGTCTAGCATTAATCGACTCATGAGTTTAACTATTAAATTACTACAATCTCCACAAAACCCCTTTCTGATAATAATAATCATGTGCTCATTCATTAGTGGCTAGCTTCAAAAGATATTTCCTGGAGTTCTATTAGAAAGCAGTAACCAGAAAGTTTAACTGTATCTGTTGCGAGATAGTAATTCACTGAAGACAATGATGGGCGGTGGCTCGATTTCGTGGATTGGTTGAAGTTAGACATTGACATCGTTGGATGCCGCCCAATAGTCTAGATGTTTGAATCCCTTGGGTCGGGACGGTGTATATGCACTGCTGAGGAGTCCCAAACTAGGATGAGGCGGCTGTCTATTAGTTTCAGTTTTTCTATGTTGGTCTAGCTTCAATTGACTTATGAGGAAGAATAAGTAATCTATAGTAACATTATTTTAAACGTTATAAAAAACCACTCCAATATAAAAGTTAAAAGTAATAAGTTTAAGTAATTCTTCTAAATTTAATCAACCATGAAGCCGATATCTATTTCAATAAATCAAAGATTCTCAATACTATTAAGATCTCACACAATAAAAACAATGAAAAGATTGATCAGAGAATACAAGAATGTGATTTTTACCATTTAAGTAGTATTTTATGTCCTATGAATAAATGATTGTTGCATTTTAAATAGTTGAGATCATGAGTCAATTGAAGCTAGACCACTATGGAAAAACTTGGAAGCACTGAACAGCCGTTTCTTCACACTGTGGGACTCCTCAGCAGTGTGCATCCACGGTCACACCTCCCGAGATTCAAATACAGAACGTATTAGTCTCACACATGAACGCTTAACCATTAGACCACTGAGCCGATATCCAGTAGTGTTAATGTCTAACTTCCACTAATCCATGAAATTAAGCAACACATCGATCATTGTCTTCAGTGAGTTACTATCTTACAACAGATGTTCTCAACTATCGAAATTACTATTATATCCACAAAACTCCTTCTGACCATTGAATTCGTATTTTCTAAATAACATTCATTCACTTAAAAGAGAATATCTCTTCAAGATAAGTTGTTTACTTTTTTTAATGTTAATCATTTTTGTTTGGAAAATAAACAAAATAATACATTCAATGCGAGATTTGAAGTTTCATATGTTTACCTATCAGAATGTAATTTCACTAGGTAGCACTAGTAAAAAGAACTTTATATTGAAACGTTAATGATTTCATGATATTAACTTATGTTGAAACAGACCAAATTTACGTCATATTACACTTTAATACTTACCCTGAATTCGATCGTTGTCGTGAAAGTCTTAATTGAGGTAAAGGTGCTTTAATCCACATTGGTTGATATTTTGAATTGATCTGTTGTGAATTCTCTAATCGAATATTATTATTATCATATTGATAAGTTTGATCATTTGTTACCCCACTAGGATTGATTACAACTTTAGATGGTACAGAATGACTTGTTGGCTGATAGTACTGTGAAAATTTAAGTGAAATAAACAATTCTCTTTATTGTAAAACTATTTAACTGAAAAATGTTAACAAATCAAATTACTATAATATCCAAAACACCCATCTCATATTAATCAACGAGGTATATCCTAGAGTTCTAGTGAGATGTAGTGACCAGTGGAGTTCAACCAGGTCTGTTGTGAGATAGTAACTCACTGAAGACAATGGTGAATGTGTCGCTCAATTTAATGGATTAGTTGAAGCTGGACATTAACACCGTTGGATACCTGCTCAGTGGTCTAGTGGTTAAGTGCTCGTGCACGAAACCAGTATGTCCTGGGTTCGAATCTCGCAGGGGGCAAGGTCATGGATGCGCACTGCTGAGGAGTCCCATAATAGGACGAAACGGCCGTCCAGTGCTTCCATGTTTTCCATGGTGGTCTAGCTTCAATTGACTCATGATCTTAACCATTGAAAATCAAATTTCATTGAAATCCTCACTATTGTTTAAATTAAGACTTAATGTATTATGTCTATGTGCTTTTGTTATGGATGTTTGAAATATTAATGAGTATATCTATGTAATTTCTCAATAGATATCTCCTTATTTAAAAGTATACGTAAATTTTCGATACCCAGAGACCTTTAGTTTACCGCATTGAGAAACTATGCTACCTTACATGTTATGATTTTCAAGTAGAATACATGTTTATTTGTTTGTCCGTAAATTATTGATGCGAATTATTGAATACAAATGAAAAGAATAGCTTTACATTGCTTCAGCTTTCTGGAATAGAATAATGTGAAACAAAGATCAATGAAAAAAATTTAAAGATAGTTCGAATCATATAACGTTTAATAATAACGACATAATGTATTATCAGTATAGGGTTGTGGAAATTATTAAGTTTTTGATTGAGATTATGAACAAATTGATGCTAGATCACCATTGAAAATCTAGAAGCACTGGACGGTTGTTACGTCCTGATATGGGAATCTTCAGCAGTACGCATCCACGATCCCGCCCAAGGTATTATTTGGGATGATTGAACTCAAATAAAGTGAATTAATTCTATGGTGTCTGGGATTAAATTATACAGAATCATAAAATTAACTATATGAGATTATCTATGAATGAACAGGTAGAACTTAACAAGTAAACGCTGAATACTAAGATTATCCATTGATTTCACAATTCACTAAACGACATCTTAATATTTTTTTAAAATCAGGAAATATAATAAAAAGATTCGCAAATTCCTTTTACGATCAGAATTCGTATTAGATTCTTTTGAGACCTGTTCACTGAGAGACATGGAGGTCCTAAGTTCTGTACCTGACATGGTATGGAAGCACACAGCTTCTTAGTACCATATTAAAATAAAGTAGCTTTTCAGTTTTACCTAGTTTTCAGTGATGTCTTAACTGAAATTAATCTATAACGAATTCAACAACAAATTGAACCAATTTCTACAAAAAGCCTTTATCTAAAACAAGTTATCTATTTTATGATTTCATTCTTATTCAGTTCTATGGTTTACAACCCGATCTATGATAATTATTCAACTAAAGGATAGGTTAACTGGTTCTGTTACATCTATGTGCATCTATGAATTCAGCTGCTCCTGTGTGGAAAGCTGTATTGGGCGCACAACCAGACAACAGAGCAAACGAGTTAGTAAACATCTCCCCTAGTGGTTGGAAAAGGTTGTTCAGTTAACAACGTTTAGTTCAATACTCATTTATGAACGCTTTTCAAAAAAGCACTGCTTTAATACTTATCGTGATTTGACTTCGGTTCTGTGAATTATTTCATCAAAATCATACATAGTCTATTTTATCTTGGATTTCGGTTAAAGCTTGGAATTTTCACCAAATTCATCATGTGGTACTCTTTTTTGGTCGATTTCGACACTAGTGATCATGTTTTTTTTCGTTTTGATCCCTCTGCAGTGGTCGGCTGTACTTAAAAATATAGACAGCCAAACTGTTCTTTCTCCGTGGGGGAAGGAATCAAATGCGATTAGTGTAAAACGTGATTCCATAAGATGTGTACCCGTTTTATTCACACCGCATGCAAAAGCTGCTCGAAGCCTTACTCCCCTTGACTTCATATGTTTTGTTGTTCCAGTAAGACTTTGCTGATCTTGGAGGCTATGAGCTTTCTGCATTCGATAGTGTAACTTGCGAAGTCATTCATTATCAAATGTTGTACATTTATACTTGGTGTTATCTATCGTAGCCCGAACTACTTAGCTGATAGCTTTATTTTGGATCACATTCAGCTATGGAGTGAAAATAACAGATGCCTGATATTAGGAGATTTTAATGCATCCGATATTAGCTGGATTGGTTACAGTCCTTTGACAGTAGGTTCCTGATAAAGGTACTGGAGCACGCCTTAGTATAAAGTGTATCGGAACCCATATCTTATGACTCAAACCAAGGATCTTCTTTGTTAGACTTAGTAATCACTCACGCATTTTCCTTGCTGTATCATAATATTCAAAATGATTCCTGGTAACCATTTAGTTGTGAAGTCAGTAAGTCCGGCATGTTTGCTTCCGATTCAAAATTTAGTCTTAAATCAATAAAATTACCACTTCTAGTTACTATTTAGTAGTTAACTATTTTTAACGTTTCAGTACTAGGAAGAGTAAGACACTATCAGTATAGATCAGTGATGACTTTTTAGATGAGTATCGGGAGTTTTAGGAGATTGTAGTATTTTCACAATTGAAATCACTAACTGACATATTCAGACCATCGACGGCTGTTACTTCCTAGCATAAGACTCAGCAGCAGCCCAGATCTATGACATCGCACTCGGGAATTAAACCCAAAACCTTCGGTCTCGCGTACGAATGGTTAACCTTCAGACCACTGAGCCGGCATCTTTGGTTCGATTTCCGCGTGCGAGGTCATCTATATACACTACTGACTAGTCCTATACTAGAACGTAACACCCATCCAATACTTTCGAATTTTTAATGTCGGCCTAAGATCACTTCGTGGTTTCAACCAAGTAAACTTTCTTAATTGTTGTAATAGGTGAAACAGGAAACCCTTTCCCTCAGCATTAGAGATAAGGCTTACTTATAAATGAGGAAAAACACAAAATGCAAGTTCTGGGATTCTTATAATTTCTCTTCAAATATCTAATGTGTTTGCATTCCACTAAACAAACTTTTAAAACGATATATGTATATATTCACTTGGTATTATTTGCTTGTATCTCTCCATTGTTGTTTAGGAAAACAGTTGATCAGTCTCTTATTGACATGTGTACTGAGAGCGGTTGTACAAACGTCTTTTGGACGCAAAGGTTAGGTTTGTGAACATGGATTGCAATGGCTTCAGCAATGCGCAAAAGATGCACTCGTAAGCCTTTTGGCAAATTTGATGGAATATAGTGGATAACCTTTAAAGCTTTATTGAGTTCAACTTGATGACTTGTGTCCACCAAGTGAGCGACAATAGAACTTTTAATCATTTTTACCTGCCCTTCGCTCAACCTTGACGGATGGTGTTCTGTTATACGACAACGAACATGCCAAATTGTACGGCCTATATAACTGGCTCCACAGGAGCAGTTGAAACGATAAATACACATGGATGTAGCGAATTCAGACAATCTGTCTTTATTAACTGTTCTTATTTTGAGGCGGTTGTAGAAGACGGCACTCAATCTGGCTGCATTAAATGTTTTCTGTACCGTATTTCTTAACTTCTGAGTTACAATCTCTTCAGTGGTATCATTTAGGAATTGTAATTTTAAGAACAATAATTTCTTTGGAACAATAGGTACTCTTGTCCTTCTTTTCATCTCCTTCATGTGTTTGTCGATGAATTTCATTGGGTATCTATTCCTAATAAGCAAGCTATGAATATTAACCAATTCATCTACAATAATGTCATCCGAGCAAATCATTTTAGCATGATGAGTCAGGATCTTTATTAAGTTTCTTTTATATCTGATTGGTACTACGCTATAGAAATGAGTGTATTATTACTTTATGTTGTTTACTGGATGAGTATTATTTCATTATTGTAAATCGTATATATATCACAATTGATTGATCACTGGGTGGTGATCAATGTCATGTATGTCAAGTCATTATTTAATGCAGATCAAATGCTATAGTGCACGCAGTGTCGAGTCACCTAGACTGGTGGCCACATCGCAACATGGTCGATAGCATGCAATTTCCTGAGTTGATTGAAATTAGACATTAACACCACTGAATGCCGGCTCAGTGGTCTAGAGGTTAAGAGTTCTTGCGTGGGGCCGAAGTTCCTGCGTTCGAATCCCAGGCGGCAGGATCGCTGATGCGCACCTATCACGAATCCCATACTAGAACCAATCGGACGTCCAGTGCTTCCAGTTTCTCTATGATGGTTTAATTGACTCATGTATTTAACTATTAAATTACTATAATATCCACAATACTCCTCTCTGTTAAACAGTCAGTCAGTTAGTAACAACATAGAACTTCGTACATACGTACATCAGTTCGAGTTGCCACACCACATTAGCACAGAGATGCAATTGTCTATTCGAGTCCCGTAGTGGTAGAGGCGGTAAGAGTATAAGCAGTAATCGGAAACATGAGGGTTTGAAGATGTTATTCAAAGAGTATAATACATTGAAATAAATTTGGAAAGAGAAAAAAAGAGACAAGGAAGATTCAAGAAATTAGACTTTGAGAGAACACAAACACACACACTCTCTCTGATAAACACATTTCTTTATTTCTAATCCATGTATCTTTTGACAAGTTCCACTTGAGATTATCAATTATTTCATTAAATTCATTTCTTTCCATAACCTAACTCCATATATCCTCAATAGTTTTTCAAGTAAAGTTTACATACATAATTCGAACACATATCTGTTATTTTTAAATTCAATCACTAATATAAACTACATAAATTTCGATTGGTAGTGAATTGAAACTTTACGCAATTCAAATACTAAACTTGAAAATACCATATCATCATTACATTGTTCCCTAAAAAAGAAA